ATTTTTTAATTGGATTGTTTGTCTTCTTTTTGTTGAGTTGTATGAGTACTTTATATATGTTGGAAATTAACCTCTAATGTAGTATTTTTTATTGCAAGTCTCTTCTCTAGTCCAGTTCTCTCAAGCTTCTTGAAGTTCTACTTTCTCTTAGCACTGGTGACCATTTTCTTCCATCTCACTTTTTTCTTTGTTTGGTTTCAATTAATCACTTTTTGATCATCCCTTCCTGAAGTCCAAGCCCTTTAATCAAGTTCCTTTGTCTTTATTTTTGTACCTTTGGAATTTTTTTCTCCTTTTAGTGCATGAATGTTTACCTCTACATAGCTTAGAAATAGTCACTCCTATATTTTATATTTTCTTTGGGAAATTGTCTCAAATTTAACATGGCCAAAAGTTATCACTACGTCTTTCTCCCCAAATGCTGACAATCTGAACTTAATGGCATCATCATTGTGGCAGAACTCAGATACAAAACTTTGTATCATGATTGACTAGTTTTTACATTAGTTTTTTTATTATCAGGCAAATCCTGCTGTTTTAATGTTTTCTACTGAGATGCCTCTCACATTGACTTTTTATATGAGATAATGCATGTAAAATACTTAACAAAAATGACAACCACAAAGTAAAAAGTCAATATGTGTTTGCTCCTATTGTTGCTATTATAATAGTACAGAATATCATAGTTGGATTATTAAAAAATCCTTATAATTTTTTCTACTCTGTTTCTCCCAAAATACATGCTTCTCACCTACTTATACCAACACTTACATCATCGTATTATCTTATTTACAATATTTGATTCTCTAGCACCTATCTGATTTAACAGTAATATCAACAAGGTTGTACATAAGCTGGTATTCCAAGGTCATCTCAGTGACTTTGCATTACAAATCTCTTCTTCCATAGACTTGATCAACTTTTCATTTCTTCTTTCCTTCTTGTTTGTATTGACTCTGATTCTACATTCAGGGTTTAGTGTAAATGGAGAGTACTTGATTCAATGCCTTCAGTGTACTGATGGGAGAACTAATCATCAAAGACTTGTCCAGGGTCAAGTAGTCACCAAAAGAGAAGCAGAGACTGGCCTCATACTCAGATGCTCTGTCTCTTCATCAAAACTCTCTAATTTACCAAATCTATTAATTCAGCCCAATATTACTGCTGCCTTATATCAAATTCATGTTCAACTAACCCTTCTGTTACTTTTTATATATATATATATATAAATGAATGTAAAATGCATCCTTATTGGTGTCCTTAAACTTTGACCCAAAATAAAGAATATTAACTTAGCCTCAATAAATGTTTTGAATTATTTTCAGCTCTGTGCTCTGGTCAATGAGGATCACATTCTTCTATTCATTCTTTGTATTTCTGCAGATCTTTGAATCAAATGTGCTGGTTGACAAGAGTTCTAGGCACCAAGTAGGACTCAACTACCTGACGACCTAATGCCCACCTCCAACCCAGAACATAGTTAAGGTATCCATATTGTTTAGTCACAGATGATATATTTTGTCTCACTTATATTTAATCAAACAAGTGAATCTGGCCTCAGATAACTTAGTGCAATTTGTATTTGTCCTGGGGTCAGAATTGTGTTTCATGTGGCCTATAGTCTCATAAGCAAGCCCAAAGTCACTTTTACAATGACTCTATTTTATAACCTTGGAGGGAGAAGGGAGAGGAGGTGAAATAACAAACAACCAAAGATTTAACCTGCATGATAAAACATGCTTATCAATAACTTCCTGTTCATAATGGCTTCATGTTCAAAGCTTCTCCAACTTTGGCCTTTAACTTTCCCACATGATGCAAAGACTAATAATTAGGTCCCTGTTATCTGAACCTGTATTTTCCATTCCACTTTCTCATTTACATCATAGTCTTCCCATGTCAAAAAAAAACAAAGGAGGGGGTGCGGTCAGCTTAACTCTAAGCCAGAGAAAAAGAGAGGGGGGGAAATGAGGTAAGAGAACTGGCAGGAAGAACATGCATGATCTTTGTTTCAAAAAGTTTTATGTTGTGGGACATTTGGATGAATTCAGACCATGTCTATGACCCTATGTCAGATCCCAGTGTCTCCAAACAAGAGACAGGAAATATTCAGAATGTAGTCAGTATGTAATAAAGTATATGCAAGAGAGAATAAAATTAGAGATGAGAGCAGAAAGACATACATGGAACATCTTTATGTCTAGTTCCCTTCGAAAATACCTACACCACAGAGCTATTTCTCAGCAGTCTTTCATAATCATGCATAAATGTTAACGTTGAGTATACTACATGCTTGGGGTTAAGACTCCAAGTGGCCTTGGCAAATCACTGAGGAGCGAACAGGTATTATGTGATCAGCCATCCGAATACAGTTTGCCAAGTGCAAAATTGGTTTGCAGAACAAAGATTAATTGTTCTTAAACCAAGAAGAGAATTCAAATTAGCCATTAGCCACATGTTCTGACTGTATTCTGCTGTTCTGCTGATGTGCTCAGAAGCAGGTAGACCATATTTTAGTATCCTTGTTTAAATCTTCAAACTTTTATCTGGCTTCCTTCATTTGTTTAAGGATATTTGGCTATTAATGAAAACAAAATTTTCTCCTGAGACAGAAATTGTTTTCAAAGAGTCTCTAAGCTAACTCTGAATTTTTGTAACTGCCTTTTCTGTTATTCATATCTCTGACTTATTTTGTTTAAATGCATCAAAATGTCCCAAAGGAATTATTCTTTCTTATTTTAACATAAGACCCAATTGTCCAATGAGTCAGTATCACCCAGGGAACAACATATATGTTTGCCCCTTGAATGTTACTTTGGGAAGAATGAGTTAATTTTCTCTCTTGAAGAGTTCAATAGGAGTCTATTATAAAAGCAATCATTTATAACATGATTAATTTCTTGTTCAAATCCTACCCTGACATATCATTTGTTCACTTAGTACAAAGCAGTTATTGATCAATTATTGATATGATTAAGAGCATTTCAGCTTCCCTAAATATAATGATGAACTCTAAATGATAATGATGAACTACTAAAATCAGGCTTATGTTTTATCATTTAGAGTCTCTATATTCTCTAAATACAGAGGATCAATTAACTTCAGAATAAGTTCAACAGAAAATATCTATTTTAATCATGCTTCCTGAGGTTGCAATATTTGTTTTCCAACCCTGGGAAAATAGCATTATTCTGATCATCTAAATTCAAATAAATATCTAGTTTCTCACCAAACAAAACAAAACAAAAAAACCTGTGTTCCCAACTGCCTTTTTTAGTTTGATATCTGACTATCTTTTTTTTTTCCATTTTAATATACTATCTAGTATTTCTTACCAATTTTTATTGCAAGATCATTTCTACCAACTCAAAAATGCTCTGGTTGTAACATAATTATTTGAAAAGTAAGACTGCCTTGATGAATGCACATGAGATATAAGGCCAAAAGAAGTAAAGAATATACAGTATAAAATATTGTTCAGCCTTAAAAGAAAAGGAAATCCTGTCATTTACAATGACATGGTTAAATGAGAAGGATATTATGCTAAGTTAAATAAGCCAGACAGAGAAAGACTAATGTGGTGTAATATTACTTATATGTGGAATAAAAAAAAAATTGAAATCAAACTCATAAAAATAGTAGAAAAGCAGTTTCTAAGGTGAGGGTTTAGGAAATAGAGAGAGGTTGTTAAAAGTATACAACCTTTTGGTGAATAAAATGATTAAGTTCTGAGGGTCTAATGTACAACATGGTGATTATAGATGGTAATACTATATTATATAATTAAAATTTGCTAAGAGAGAATTTAAATGTTCTCTTTGGGAAAAGGTGAGTATGTGAGGTAATGGGTATGTTAATTACCTTGGTGAGAATCTATTATATTTACTTATAAAATAATCACATTTTGTTTTTTAACTATCTTACAATTTTATTTGTCAATTTATACCCTAATAAAGCTGTGAGAAATCATTTCTCAGCTTTTCTACTGTTTGAATGACATGCAGTTGCTAATATTTTGTCCTGGCTCAGTGTATGTGTGCTCAGCGTCTGTCTTAGGGTTCCTACTACATGATTACTTTAAGTGGGTTCCTGTCTTTCTGAGTGTGCTACAGGAAATCAATCAAGCTCAGGGAATTAGCAATTGAAAAAACATTTTCCTTTTATTTATGAGACCAAATGAGAAAGGACCTAGGGTTGAATCCAAAGAAAGCTTGGTCCCTCCGTTTTGGAAATCTGCTTGTTGCTTCCATGAAATCATTGAGATTTTAAGCTCATGTGTTGGCTCAGCAGGACTGAAGTTTTGATAAGCTTCAATGATGAGATCTTCAAAATATAGTGCTATTCAGAGATTGCCCAATTTTTGGTGTATATATATATACACACACACACACACATGTACAGGCTGGGGAAAACTAGGCTTACAGTTGTTCGTATGAAAAATAATACAATAATTGTTAAATACTAATATAAAAATAAACTGTTTCACATACTAATAATTGCAAGCGTACCTACTTCAGCCAAACCTCTGTGTATATGTGTGTGTGTGTATCAATGCATATATATTTATATATTACATCTGTATATATTTTATGTATATATGTAATATATATTTTTTATCACAAACAATTCTATGCTCACTTTATTGGACTGGTGTGCCTACTTTTTTAAATAGATTATCTTATTACTTTACAATAACATCAGATAAGTATTTATATCCTCACATTACAGATGAGAAATGCTCATCCTGGTTTGTCCTGAGATGTACTAGGCACATACTATTCCCTTCATGTTTCCAGTAGGCATGAGTTTCTGACAGCTTCTTGAAGCCATGTTTGGGCAGCATGGTTTTTGGATTCGAGCACCTGGGTCAGCAATGCAGTTATTTCTCACCATTAGCACTGGCTTCCTGCAGGACAAAAACTCAATACTTGTATATTGCATGAATTAATAGATGATTATGTTTTTGGTTTTTGTTGTTGTTGCCATTGTTGTTTTTGGCCGGACTTTAGAATATTCAATTGACCATCACCTCATGGTGCTCAGGAAACACAATTCATCATAAGTCATGCCAAGGTCAGTCCAATAAGTGCACCTTCGTCAAAAAACTAATGGCTGTAGACTGTACATTTCCACTAATGGAAAAGCCCCTGGCTTAGAAGAATGAGTGGTAGAGCGATCATCTTTGGCAGCAATATCATTCAACTGACACGGAATTAAGGTGAGACTCTTGGGAGATTATGTTTTCTTAACATTAAAAAGAAGCAAACAAAACTGATATCTCTTTAAGTTCTATTATTACAATGAATAAAACAAGCTGAGAAATCTATACCAGGTTAAAGCTTCTTTCAATTAACCAAATGTAACCAACCTCCTGGTAGCAAAATTCTTTGCCATGGCTCCAATGGGCTAGAAATCCATGGTTTAATTTGCTTCATCTTTTATTGAAATCATCTTTTCCTAGCTACACTCTTACAACACGTTTCCTTTCAAATGCCAGTAAGAACAAACAAACAAACAAACTTGAAGAGTCAGTGCATGGACTCTTCTTACATAAAACATGCATTTTCAGAGCTCCATGGAATACACAGATACGTCCTTTGAATCTTTTCAGAATAAATGAACTTTCACCACTAATGAAAAAATATAAGGCCAATAAATGAACTACTGGTAGCTGAAGTGAAGTAAATCTTGGGTTGCTTATTCATTTTTACTTTGTATTCTACCTTAGAAAACAAAATCCATATTATTTTCACACATAAACCCATTCAACCCGTCTAAGTAATGAACAATGTGTGTGATGACCCATGACCCAGCCAGCCACAAAAAGGGGAGATTCAGTTTTTAAACACATGTAGTGACCTTAAGAACAGTAGTATCTTAGGAAAGATACAGAATTGCTTCTTAAACACCTCTGGCAAAAATCGACTAACATTCTAGCTCATTCCAATTTTTTAAAAAATGATACAGCAATATAAAAACAACTGAAGTTAAATAGTTCTGAGCTTCACATTCCTACAATAATAATATTGGCCTTTTGCCTCTGTTATAGCATACATATTAAATATTCATGCTGATATTTATTTTCTAAATGTAAAATGGAATTAGGATAACAAATAAACTCTACCATCTGGTGATAATATTGGTTGTATATTATATATTTTTTGTTTCAAGGGCTTTTACATGTTTGATTCAAGGTAGTTTACTGAATAATGCATGAACATCTTTAAACATGCATTTCTATAGTTGAGGTTATAGTTGGTTGTCAGGTTCTCATCTTGAACTAATAACATGGTGATTTTCTTTTTGCACAGAACAGAACTATGGAGAAGAGGGCCATTAGAAACCTAATCAGTGTTGAGTCTAAATACTTTTTTTGAAATAGATTCTCTATCAGTGAGTTCATTTTCTAGAAAGAAACCACAATAATATTCTCTACAAATGTTAGTTTTCCTGAAGCATCTTCTTAGGAGAGCAATTTTTTTGTGTGATTGAAAGTAATCTAAAAATAATCTAAAAATCTAAGAAATAGGCTATATTTACAAAAACATGAAATAAGTAAATGATATAAAGATGTAGATGGCAACATAGCTATTCTCTACAGTTCTGCTTTTTGAAGGGATCATAATATCTCTCTATTCAGCATATACTGGTGGTACATGTTTTTATACTTTACTTTGAAGCTAAATGGATACTAAAGGTTCAGCTTCTTTATGTAGGGCTTTCTAAGTAGCAGGTGTCTGTAATGCGACCACGTTCTGGGTTCTGATTCTAAGTTCTGAAGGTTCAGAAACTTGATTGTGTGAATCTACCTTGCGATGTTTCATGTTTGGTGGCTAACCAGCTTAAATTAAGCAAACCCACTGAAGATGAATTGATCATGTAAAATTCCATTTATTAATGTTTAGTAAGAAACACAACCACAAATTAGACTCAGGACTGGCTATGTAATCAGTAGGACCCAGTGTAAAATGGAAACGAGCGCCCTTGTTCAAAATGATCAAGAATTTCAAGACAGCAAAGCAGAGCATTAAACCAAACACTGAGTCCTTCTAAGGGTCTTTGTGTAAGTACATGGGTCACGTGCCCAGGAACCTGGCTCTGATTAAATGCATATATCTGCCAAGGATTGCTTGTAAGTACAGAATTAGAGTAAAAGGATTTGGACATACACTGGCATTCCTGAGAACACTGGTTGAATTACGCTTTCCAACATTAACAAAGTGTGTGGAAATACATTAGCACTTCCCGGTGTTGGCTCATCTATTTCTCTCATTGGTCTTCTGTTGTAGCAAGATGGGAGCTTTCCCCATCATGTCACCATCCAGGTGAGATAATAACCTGCTTTTTGCAAAACGCCCTGTCTTCTTAATTGGATTCAGTAGGTGACCTAGTCTCATCAGCTACACTTTCAGGACATATCTTAGTGTGCCTTGTATTTTATGTGTAATGGGCTGGTTTTTTTTAGTAGTTTTCATGATGGCCTTCCTCAGTCCTAGTCCTGAACTCTGAAGAAACTTATAACAATTATCTCGGCATTGAGTAGACTTTATTCATTCACGTGACACATGTTTATTGAGTACCCATTACATACGTGTTAAGTGCTATCATATTAAATGTTATAGCACATATTTTTCAACCTATGTTGAATAATATGTATTCAACAAATGCCATTCAATATATATTATTCTGAGTATAAACACATATATTTTTCTATTATGTTGGGTATATATATGAGCCAGGACATGTTTATTTGCGTTAACAAAACACAACTCAAACCATCTTAAAATTAAATAGATGATAGATAGATAGAAGAGTGCTAGATAGATGATAGATCATTAGCTAAAGTGGTTCAAAGTGACTAAATATGGGAGTATGAAACACGTTATTAGAAAGTCTCTCTCTTCCTCCTCCTCATCTTCTTTTCTTCACCCTCTCTCTCTCTCTTTCCATTATTTAACTCCTATGAGTTACCTTTATTGTCAAAAGGATCCCTCCATGTGGTTGCAAAAACACACTCCAGTGCTCAGGCATATGTGTCAGGAGCGAACATCTCCTTTGTTTCAGCAGCCAAAACGCTTATGTCAAATTACTCTGCTTGCACTCACTGCGGTCGCCTGCCTACCCCAAACCAATAACTGAGTCCTGGGGTCTGGGATAGTGATACTTGTCATCCATGAAACCACGATTGGCAGTCCCACTGGGAGGTGGGAGGGGCAGTTCACAAAAGGCAAAGGAGGGGCTTTGTTATCAAAGAAGGAAGAAGAGATTCTGTGCAGGTAAGAACAACAGCTGTCCCCTCCAGCATGACACAGTAGGACCCTAGAGCTGACTGTAAGGAGAACTTAAGATCTGAAGTCCGGAGAAAGGTGTGTGCCACTGCAACCTGTTGTCTGTGGAAACGTGGTCAAGTCAATGGAACCGGAACAGTGATTCTTAAAGAAAAACATGAAACAAATGGACCTACATGTTCCACAGTTCTCAGAGGAAACTAAACAGTATGTGGTTCAGGATAATCAAGTTATTTATTCTGTCCAATTTTGTCACAAACATAGGATACTGTTTGATTTTTTGAACTCGGTTAAAATGTTTAACCTTTAGGGCCTGGAGACTCCAGTTTATAACATGGGATACAGACGGCCATTGTTCAGGCATTCATCACACAGGGACCGCTGGGACTCAGGCTATGATATTTCTTTTCTTTTCTTTTAATCCTCACCCTAGGACATTCTGCCATTTATCTTCAGATGGAGTGGGAGGTAGAGAGAGAGAGAGAAAGAGAGGAGGGAGAGAAAGGAACATTGATGTGAGATCGACACATCGACTGGTTGTCTCCTGCACAACCCTGACCAGGGCCAGGGACGAACCACAACCAAGGTACGTGTCCTTGGCTGGAATCGAACCTACGACTCATTGGTCTGAGGGCTGACACTCTAACCACTGAACCAAACCTGCCAGGGTGAGGTTACAATGTTTCGAAAAGTTGCATTGATCCTTTTATACCTCTCAGCTACTTTCTGAATTCGCAAGGGACCACCTCCCCGCCTCTCCTGCCTGACTCCGCCAGGAGCACCCATGGCATCCGCATAGCTCCGTGCTCTTTGCAGCTCACATTTTTCAGAGTAGATACCCCAAAGTCCTTTTAACTTCTCTTCTTAAACTTCATCCTCACAATAAACCTTAACGAAAGGTAATAGTATCTGTATATAACGCTCTGTGCCTTGGCTGGGGATAAGCAGCTCTCAGTGGGCTTGTACACAGGTAGGGTAATAATTAATCCTGCCATACGTCCTCTTTCTGCTTCCCTGCCTGGGACACAAGGGGGGACACCCACACCCAGAGCTGCAGTGCTCCACGCAGGGGACAGATGTGCTCCCTTCACCCTCAAGTACCACCCCGCACACACACCCACGCTCCAGGAGTCTGACAGCCACTCTGACCCACATGACAGCACATGCGGAATGTCGCTCTTGTGTGTATTCTTTATCAGTGGGGTGCTGGGCTCTTCAAGCTTGTCTCCAAAGCTCTCAGTTGCATCAGGGGACACTCCGGGAGCCATGGCGACAGCGGATGCTTATCCCATCCAAGCAGAGAATGGGGGCCACTCTGTCCCCTGCAACACTGCAGGGATGCTCAGGCAGGTTCATGAGAAAACGAGCCCCACTTCCTGTTTCTAATTTTTAGCAGACATCGTGGTCACGGAAACCCTGAGGTCAGTGGATCACTGAGAGATGCTAGTAAAAACAACAACAAAGCCAGCCCCAGGAAAGCCTGCCAATTGCAGCATTTTGCCAGTACTGCTGTGGTCCCTTCAGCACGGCCCAAATATCATTGTCTTAGTGTGGACTCACCACAAGGAGGTTTTGGAGAGCTGGGCTTCTGCGTCGAAAGGACGGGGCTGCATCGGCTGACGATAAGGGAAGCGTGGAGAATCAGAAGGCCACGGCAGGTCCTTCCTGAATCACAAGGAGGCTCAGAGACATAACACCCAGGTACAAGACAGAGGAACTGAATATTATATATGATTCAGAAACGATTTTTAAAAAAATGATGTAGACTCAGAGTCCAG